ATATATAGGCGTTGGACGGGTGCGTTATGGGTGTTGGACGGGTGCGTTATGGGTGTAGGATGGTTACAATATAGGCGTTGGACGGGTGCGTTATGGGTGTAGGACGGGTGTGTTATGGGTGTAGGATGGGTGTGTTATGGGTGTAGGACGGGTGTGTTATGGGTGTAGGACGGGTGTGTTATGGGTGTAGGACGAGTGCGTTATGGGTGTAGGACGGGTGTGTTATGGGTGTAGGATGGGTGTGTTATGGGTGTAGGATGGGTGCAATATAGGCGTTTGACGGGTGCGTTATGGGTGTAGGACGGGTGTGTTATGGGTGTAGGACGGTTGTGTTGTGGGTGTAGGATGGGTGCAATATAGGCGTTTGACGGGTGCGTTATGGGTGTAGGACGGGTGCGTTATGGGTGTAGGATGGGTGGGTTATGGGTGTAGGACGGGTGTGTTATGGGTGTAGGATGGGTGCAATATAGGCGTTGGACGGGTGCGTTATGGGTGTTGTACACGCTGACTGTTGAAGGAACCCATAGGACGCAAGTTGACCCCTGTAAGGATATATAATGAAGCCTCCCCTTCCTCATGGCCCGTCCCCGTTTGCTCGTCATCCCCAACAACCCCAACCCTCTTTTACGGACTCCCCTCCCTCCCCTCCCCCCAGAACGCCTTCCTAACACCCCCCCCCCAACCCTGACCTGAATTATGATATATAGGCCCTGCAGTTATACCATATTATTAATAATAATATGTTATTATAATATACTTATTCCATATCATTATTAGTAATACGGAATAATAAATAATATAATAATTCTACTACTACTAATAATAATATGAATATTTATCCATATTTCTATAATGAGAACTAATAATCTCCAGATAATAATAATTATAACCCCAGTTAATGATTATTATAATTAATAAAGATAATAATGTGCCCCAGATCAGTGGTGGGGGCGGCGCGCCCCAACACCCAGCGGGCGGCGTTCAGCCGCGCCGTGGACGCCGTCCTGCTGGGGGGACGCCTTTACTGGACGGCGGTGGGCGGCGAGGTGTTCAGCGAGGAGCTCAACGGGGGCACCTACTACCATAATAGGTGGGTGTTTCGTCCATGTGGCGTCCACGTGGCGTCCACAACAGGTGAGTGTGGCGTCCATGTGGCGTCCACAACAGGTGAGTGTGGCGTCCACGTGGCGTCCACAACAGGTGAGTGTGGCGTCCACGTGGCGTCCACATCAGGTGAGTGTGGCGTCCACGTGGCGTCCACAACAGGTGAGTGTGGCGTCCATGTGGCGTCCACAACAGGTGAGTGTGGCGTCCACGTGGCGTCCACATCAGGTGAGTGTGGCGTCCACGTGGCGTCCACATCAGGTGAGTGTGGCGTCCATGTGGCGTCCACAACAGGTGAGTGTGGCGTCCACGTGGCGTCCACAATAGGTGGTGGAGGCCGCCCACTACCGCCTCCTGGTGGGCGGCACACACTCATAAACATCAACGTGTCACAATGTACAAAAAGGTGACACACCTACTGAAGGCAGCGCTGATATGTCCTTTTGCTGGGAAAAATGGGTCACAATGACTCAAATATTGCGCCGAAAGAGCAGCGTTATTCGGACAAAGGCCCAACAGTTTCTCTGCGTGCAGCTACGCCCTGCTGGGGGAGCACCCAGGCCCCATGGTGGCGGTGGGGGCGGCCACCCAGCAGGAGCCCGCCCCCTTCACCGCCCCCCGCCACCTCAACGTCCTCGTCACCACCACCACCGCCGCCGCCTCGTGGGCGCCGCCCCCCGCCTCCCCGCCGCCCTTTAGAGGTCAGCGCCCAACATTATCCTTAAGATCCATATCCTGATCCTTATCCTTATCCTTATCCTTATCTTTATCCTTTATCCTTTATCCTTTATCCTTTATCCTTTATCCTTTATCCTTTTTCCTTTATCCTTTATCCTTTATCATTTATCATTTATCCTTTATCATTTATCCTTTATCCTTTATCCTTTACCTTTATCCTTTATCCTTTATCCTTTATCCTTGTCCTTATCCTTATCCTTATCCTTATCCATTTTCAATTTCCGGGCCGTCGATCCCCGTCACGGACTTGCCCCCCCCCCCCCGGG